TGGAGGGCCCAAGGCAAACTGCTTTTTTTTCTTCCCACTCCCTTCCACATGGCCCTGCTGTGGAGGACCTGTGACTTTTACATTCACTCCCTGCTCCTGATCTGAATGAGGCCAAATCTGATGGCCTCAAGAGCATGCTGCAAAGCTCATCTCTCACCCCCCCCCCCCCCCCCGCCCCTCCCAGGCATCTGAAACCAGGGGAGAATTGGGAGGGTCATGAATTTTAGGAGTGGGAGGATAGTTACCCTTTGACTTTGGCTGGTTTCCTTTGCCTGGGTTCTGTGCACTTGAGTTATATTGAAGTGTTGTTTGATGTGGGTACTTTATCGTTAAGTCTGGACTAACCAGAGGGTATGGATAGTTGCCATTTTTACTGTATGCGTAATTTCAAATAAATAAATGTATTTGGGTGGCAGGTACATGTGTGATCTCTCTTGGTTTATATTCTAAAACTATTTTTCAATGGAGTAGAACGTTTACTGTGCAGGATTTCTATTCTATTGTATTCTATTCTTATACCATGCCCACCACTGTGGTATCTGAATGCCATTAACTATTCCTGCTGCCTATTCACCACTTTAAACATTTTTTAGGATATTGTTAGGGGGTTAAAGACTGTTGCCAATTCAGATTTGTTCCAGTTCATTAGTGACTGAAAGTCATTACCATCTGACGAATGTTCCATGGGCCAACTGACATGTTGGTAGTCTCGGTCCAGTTCCTAGTGGACAGATGTCCATCTCTCTCTCTCTCTCTGTCCCCCCTCCCAAAAAAAAAAAAACAAAAAAACCACATCACTATCTTTGGCAACCTTGCTGAAAGTCTCAGCAAAGCGTACGAGGACTGGCTAAACATGTGACATGAACAATTCTTTTGTTCCTAATGGGAGTCCCTATAGAACAGAAGAATGGGTGATGTACATTCCCAGGGATGGGCAAGGAAGCATGATCTGCTTCTCCCCTTAATGTAATGTATGTACGTTATCTGGACTGAGAGTGTGCTCATTCTCCAAAGCCATCAATATGACACTTGTCACAAGCAACACATTCACTTAAAAAAATAAATAAGAACATGCTATCCTGTGCTGACAGTATTAGTCCTTGCACAGTCTCTGCCCCAAGAAGGTGACAAACGCAGAGATGAACAAATGGACAAAATGACTGGGGAGGTGTGTAACATGTGAACAAGGTAGTCCAGATGGAATTGTCCATGGCCATATATTAGTTGAATAAATGTTTTAGAGTTTTCAATGGTAAAATGTATAGAATATCCCAGAGTATTAACAGACTAGGCATAATCAGCCAGTTTTTTATAGGCATCATGCAAGAAGTAATCCTTTGGGAGGGATTTTTTTATGTTCTTCATTAATAAATATTTGTAAAATACTTTAAGATCTTTTCATGGGAAGAGAGAAAAAGGGGTGACAAGGCAGAGCACTAGAAAATTACTTTAGAGAACAGTTCCTAGCAGCATGGTACATTCTGAGGTATCCCTGAGCTTATGAGTGGCACTAAGGACCCATATAAGCGACAGCAGTGAGATTAAAAGAGAATTTCCTGGAGTAGGAACGATGGATTCTGGACTGGCCAGATGTCCTTTCTTGGACTGGTGCGCTGTGAAGAATTTCACATTCTGGTCAAAACCAATGCTTTTCATCTGGTTATGAGGCATAGTCATGAAAATTTTTACACAGCTCTCGATCAGATCACTTTTGCTCATTGAAGATCACCTGTTTGCTTTTTTGCAAATGAGGGATGTTGTCCTGGTGAAGGTCCAGTTTGTGTAATTTTGCTTATCTGCAGCATCAATCAGATCAGTTAATCTGAGCTCTATTACCTTGATTGTGGTGTATTGTTGAGGGACCTTCTACACTGTTAGACAGCTGTCACCTTAGGATGGCTGCATTTTAGCAGTTTGAAATGAATCATGCATATAATTTGTACATTAGTTCACAATATTTTTAAAGTACTTTAGGAGCCTTCAGGGTGAAAAATGATATCTTTCTGTCTGTCTGGTATAGCCCCTGTCACTGCAGTATTTGGGAGCCTAAAAATGTACAATTTTTAATTTAAGAATGTAGCATAAAACAACATTTTTATTGAAATTGCATGTTCCTATAATTTTATTGTCAAAAAATCTTTCCTAAACATTTCTTCTCCTCTTTTGCTTCCCACATCCCTCACTTATTTATTTATTTGTACACTTCAAAATCTATGAAAAAGTTGGGAAATACACCACATTGAAAACTTATAAAAACAAAAGCTAAGTCTGGAGGTCCTTTGTCAGTACTATCCCCCTCAGTTTTTCCTGAGAACTGATTAAAACTTGACTAATAGCCTTAGATTTTGTACCTATATCAGTGAAATGTGATGGCATGAGACTGTAACTAGTATAACCAACTCAAAGCACTGACAATTTATGAGTTAGGCTGCCCAAAAAGCATGTGATTGGCTTCAAAATCATGAGATTTTTTTTTAAAGTATTAAGTTTGGGTGCTTTTTAGTTGCCATCTAGTCTCTCAGACTTTAAGGTTCATTCCTAGAGTTGAGCAAATAATTGAGATTTTGATTCAGTGGCCAAACCGAAAATCCAAAATGGGAATTTTTCATGTTTTCTCAACAAAATGAGAAAACAAATTAAAGAAAAAAGGTCAGTTCAAATGAAATGTTTCAAACATCATTTTGAAACATTTCAAAATGTGACAGTTTGTTTCAAAACAAAATGTTGAAGCCGTTAATTAGAAAATGACACAACGGGCCATTTAGACGATTAAAAAAATCTTCCTTTGTCATTTGGATTAAACTATTTTTTAATAATTTTGGTCTGGTGAATTTATTAGTCAACAGAAAAAGTTTGCCCAGCTCTAATTTACTCCCTTAATATTTTCAAGCTTTGTTCTGCAACCATGGGGTCTAGAAACTTACTTTTTATCTAAATGCAGCCTCTTGACTCCAGCAGCTGGGGCTTTAGAGAAAACATCAAATATCACGAGACTCATCATTAAACCACAAGAGTTGGTACCATATGAATACAGGCATACAGCAACAAACTTGTGGTGTCTTTGCTTTCAGCATGCTGCACTTGAACATTTCTAACTGCTCCGTGTATGCAGAGGCAGCAGCCAGTTTTACTCTTTCTGATTTTGTTGTTCTCCTCAATGTAAAATAAAAGTAAACCGGACTGAAATTATATGGTGGCTCTCTGCATTTGGAAAACCACTCCACTAACAGATAGACGAAGAATGTCAGCTCATTTCAGACACTGAGCCTCACACCGTCTAGTGGTAAGAATGTTGATTATTAACCATTGATCATTATTGACCTGTTTTGGATTTGATTAATGAATTAAGCTTCACAACATGCTCGAAAATAGCAGATGCTATTATCCCCATTTTACAGATTGAAAAATAAGATACAAAGAGATATTTCTCAAGGGAACAGAGGGCAGAGCTTGGGGATAAATACAGAGGTGAGTAAATATAGTAAAAAAGTATTTGCAGAATCATTTGTTTGAATAAAAAAGCACAAGTCTGCTATGCTGGCATTCACAAGCATCTTTTTAATTAAGACTTAGATTGTAAACTCTCTGGACCGGGGCCATCTTTTTGTTCTGTGTTGCAGCACCCAGAACAACTGAACCCCAGTCTTTGACTGGGATCTGTAATCACTACTGCAGTACAAATAATAAATGTTCATAATCATTATGAGCAGGTGGAGATAACTGCTTATATGACCCATAGAGGAGGGGCATCGGCGCTTGCCACCTATTAATTCTGGAGGGAGGGCTGCAATGGGGAAAAACCTCCCCTCAGTGGAGTTCAGGCTGTGGTGTGAGTAGCATTGCCATCTCTGAGGAATACAAAGGGGTATCAGGGATGATCCTGAGCCCATAAAACCAGAGAGCTAGCTGTGTGTTCTGAGCCCCCTGATTAGGGTGACCAGGTGTCCTGATTTTATAGGGACAGTTCTGATTTGGGGGGCTTTTTCTTATATAGGCCTATATTACCTGGACATATTAGGCCATTATTATTATATACCTATTACCTGCCACCCCCGTCCCGATTTTTTCCACTTGCTGTCTGGTCACCCGACCACTAATGGACTTTCCAGGACAGGGATAGCTCAGTGGTTTGAGCACTGGCCTGCCAAACCCAGGGTTGTGAGTTCAATTCTTGAGGGGGCCGTTTAGGGATCTAGAGCAAAAATTGGGGATTGGTCCTGCTTTGAGCAGGGGGTTGGACTAGATGATCTCCCGAGGTCCCATCCAACCCTGATATTTGATGAGTCTATAACAGCTACCTCAAAAAAGGGGAATACCTGGACTGGTGGCAAAGGCAGAAGCCCCTTTGATTTTGAATGGGGGCAAGAGCCACAGCCAGGAGCCCTTTCCAAGGGCATGTGGCAGGCTACAGAAGAGGGGAGAACCAGATGGAGGGGATCCCCTGGGGGGGTGAGGAAGATGGAGAAACCGAGGGTGCTTGGGACGTCCCTCTCCCCCCCAAGTCAGGCAGGGTGACCTGGCAGAACCCGCAGAGCCGCTGCCGCTGGGGCACAAAATCCAGGGCATTTGGGACAGTCGTGAACCCATCAAAGCAGACGGCGGAGTGTGCACTGAGCCCCCTGCAGATCTCCCAGGACAGCTATCTCAATAGCGGGGAAGCCTGGGAAAACCTGGACAGGTGGCACCCCTGGTCACAACAGGGAGCAGCCACCTTGGTTGTAATACTATGGGGACAGCCACCTAGGCTGGGCAGGCGCAAGGAGACGGCCTTCTTGGCGTCAGCAGTGGGGGAAGGAGGGGAACACCATCTTGCTTTCCAATCCCACAGGGACAGCCATCTTAGCGAAGCCATTGGTGGGCGCGGCCATCTTGGTTATGGCGCTCCCTGGGGGCGGCCATCTTTGTAAAGAACTAACGCGGGGGCTGCGGCAGCTCTCCCGGCCGGCGGCGCCGGCGTCCCCCTAAGCAAGATGGCGGCGGAGCATGCTGGGATTGGCGGAGCCGCCGGGGTTAGGGGTCGGAGGTACTGAGTGAGGCTCCGGCGGCTGCAGCGGGCGGGGGGAGCCTCGGGAGCCGCCATGGGGGAGGCCGAGAAGTTCTATTACGTCTATAGCTGCGACCTGGACATCAACGTGCAGCTGAAGATGTGAGTGAGGAGGGGGGGCGGCCGGGCGAGGGGGGCAGCGCTCGCCCCTCCCCCCCCCCGCTGGGGGGGCGGCGGAGGACTCGGGGCCACCCTCCACCCCCGGCTGGGAGGGGACTCGGGGCGCCCCCCCCCCCGGCTGAGGGGGAGGTGGGATCTTTCCTTGCGGGGGTGGTGGGCGAGGGGGGCACCTCAGGAAGGGAGGGGGGCGCAGCCCATCTTGGAGACGGTGGGGGTTGTGGGGGAAGGGCTGGGTTAGGGCTCCCCTCTCGGAGTGCGGGGGGGGGGGGGTTAGAGCTGGGCCCGCGGTTTGCCCTGTCCCAGCCGGGGTCGGGACGGGGCAATGGAGGGAGCTGGGATGGGCCCATGGCCCTGCATCTCCAAAGGGGGGCTCTCTGTTCATCCATAGGGGCCCTGGGCCTGGGCCTGGCTTCGGGCCCGATCGCAGTGTCCCCTGCAGTGGAGCTGGGAACCCCAGGGCCTTGCCTTGTGGGTCTCTCAGCTGGGGCAGTCATGCTCAGCCTGCTCAGTTGCACCTTCAGGGTCGCACAGCTGCAGCAGGGTTGGTTGTCCGGCGCTTCTGGGTACTAGCCGCTGGCTCAAAACTGTCCGGTTACCTTCCGAAAACCGGAGAAACGTTTCTTTGGGGTTAGGTCTTAACCTGGTAAAAGCGCTGTCTGAACAGGTCAGCTGATAAAGGTGCATTATTGGCTTAATGCTACTATGCCGGATAACCTGCTTGTATTACAATTAAGACTTAATATTAGAAGAGGGAGAAAATCTCCCCCTCCCCCAGCTTCTTCACCTTGTTCGTTTGATACCACTTTGCAGATTCGGTATAGACAAGTGTTCACAGCATCCAGGCCTGACTAAGTATGTTCATAACTTAGGCTTGGTTTACACTACAGAGTTAGGTCGAGGTAAGGCAGCTTACGTCAACCTAATTGTGTCAGTGTCTACACTAAAATGCTGCTTCCACTGAAGTGAGTGGCCTGCTACACCAACATAATAACTCCACCTCCACGAGAGGCATAGCACTTATGTCGGTGTGGTTAGGGCAACGCAGTGTCTGTGTGGACACTACCTTACTCCCCCTTGGCTGTTGGCTGTCATTTTTGTCAGTTTCATGGCTGCCTCTGGCTCAGAGCAGCAATGTGGGGCTCACAGGGCCAGCTAAAACTGACAAGAATGTCAGTTTCACAGCTAGTAGGCTCCTTGCTGTGAAAATGAGCAGGCGCTGGGCTCACAGCCGTCTCCCCACCCCCAGCTGTCAGCCTAGGGGCGACAGCTGGAGTTGTGAGCTTAGGGGCTGAATTTCACAGCAGAGAGTATACCAGCAAGGAAATTGACATTCTTGTCTGTTTCACAGCTCCAGCTGTGAATCCCATGCTGCTGCTATGAAGGGAGGTAGTGGTGAAACTAACAAGAATGTAAATTGCACTGTTCCTAGGCTCCCTATTGTGAAATTGAATCCGCATGGGGGCTCACAGCTCTAGCTGTCAGACTGGGGCGGGTGGTGGGCTCCAGCTGCGAGCCCCAAAATGCCACACTTCAGTCAGTGCAAGAAACTTCACTGTTTTCTCTGCTAACATGCAACATACATAACATTAAATAATCTATTTTAAAAAATAGGCTAAGTTCATTGATGCCACTTCACTGAATTTCTGAATCCTTCTCACATAGTTAGATGACATTTCTCTCTGAAAAATAGTAATCCAGCACAATTAATGATTGCAAGTCTAAGATAGCCAGCCTCTGTGCTTAATAATTTCAATAAAAATCCCATTCACTCTGGAGTTCTTTCTGTGGACATCTATTATTTAAAATGAAGTTGGCATTATATGACAGTTTCTTTCTTTCTTTTAATTTAGAGGAAGTCTGGAAGGGAAAAGAGAACAGAAGAGTTACAAAGCTGTTTTGGAAGACCCTATGCTGAAGTTCTCAGGATTATACCAGGAGACTTGTTCTGACTTGTATGTAACTTGCCAAGTGTTTGCAGAAGGGAAACCTCTTGCTCTTCCAGTTAGGACTTCCTACAAAGCTTTTAGCACTAGATGGAAGTAAGTGACTATATTTCATATACATCTTAAGTATTTGGACATTGAACTACATTAATATATGTTGTGGCTTTTCCAAAATTTACAAATTATAAAAGAGAAACTCTTAATCAATAGTCTGGGGATGTTTTCTTCACATTCTTGATTCTTAATACAGTTAATATTATTTGTATTCTGGTGCCTACGAATTCCAGTCAGAGCTCCATTGTGCTGAATACAGTACATACATGTAATCAAAAGATACTCTTTACCTCAAAGAGCTTACAGTCCTAACATATGGCTAGAGAACAAGCGGAGAAAAACAAATAAAATGTGAGGAGGTGAGGGATCAGGCAGAGGAACAGCATATGCAGGAAGTTAGGATAGAATATCATAATGGGTCCTTCTGGCTGTAAAATCTCAGCAAAGGCAAGGTTAACAGTGATTTGATTGTTTGGTATAACAAGTAGCATACATATTCTATTTGCTAGGAAATCTAAGCAGTATATCCCATTGTGGTACAAAGGAAATGTCAAAATGTATCTCCTTTGAAAATCATAACTACATAGTGGAAACTACATCAAGCCAAGCAATTTCCATTTGCTAACGGGGAAAAGGGCAGAAATCCTCATTTGTGTTCTGCTTGAAATATCTCCTTCAGTGAAACAGTTTTCACCCGTTTAGAGAAGACAAAAATTCTATATTTCAGATATATTAGGATGTGTAAAATAAAGCTATCTTTGTAATGATCAGTTATAAAGAAAAAATTTAAGAGTGACAAATGGTATTTTGTAATTTTGATTTTTCAGAGTAACACCCCTGGCATTTAAAGTAACTTGACTAACAATAATAATAATTATTAGCTATTTTTGAGGTGTGACTAAAGTGTGTGTTTGTACCTTTTTTCTATTCAGCTGGTTAAGTGTGGCTGAGTTGCATTTTATTTTAGTTTTATTTAACTTTATTTTTTGGTCCGGGCCTGTAAATGTTCATGACAATTTTGCAAGGCTGTTTGTTTCCCATAAACAGAGTTCAGTTATGAATTTTGAATATGTTCTCTTCAGCTGTGGTCCTGCAAACACTTACACATGTGTGTAAGTGTGTACTGGGCCAGAGCCCAAGTGAACATATTCAGCCATATCTTCAAAGTTCAAGTATTAGGGAAGAATACCAGTATGGAGTATAAAATAGAACAATTTAAAATATGACGTTCATAATTAACAGCGAGTTTCTCTCCTCAGCTGGAATGAATGGCTAAAATTGCCTGTGAAGTATCCTGACTTGCCCCGTAATGCACAAGTGGCTCTGACAATATGGGATGTATATGGGCCAGGTAAAGCAGTTCCGGTAGGGGGAACAACAGTCTCACTCTTTGGAAAATATGGGTATGTTTCTTTTCCTTGCATGGTACCGTAAAATAATAGTTTGAACTGCATTTGTGCACAGTAATAAGAGTCAATAGTCATATTAGGGAGTGATGCGTTGATGTAGCTACATTGCTGCAATGGTATAAAGCAGTGCTTGTACAGAAGTGACTTGCCCTGCTTTACAGTCAGGCAACTGATCTGCCCTGGGGTGTTGCAAAGATGCAGCTATTTTGGTTCAAAAGTCCCTAGAGGAGACAAGCCTTTAGGCTGAAAGTTCTGAAAGCTCTTAAGTTTTAAAATGGCAAGTGCTGAGACCACTTCAAATCATGTACTCCGGTAGGTTCATATATTAGCAACAGTCTGCACTGCATGTTTATATAGGTATGGAAATATGTGCTTAGCCTGAAGTATGAACAGATCATCAACATTTGGCTGGCATGTGCTCTTTAAGTGTTGTAATGACATTGATAGGCACCAGTACACTTGTCTCAACCAGAGTTTATCATAAAATTAGGACTAGTCTTTGGTTTAAAAGGATAAGTAATGAAAAATACCTGTCTATGCAGTATTAGTATAAGGTAAAGCTAATCCAGGAAGAGTGGAATCGTCAAAGGTGCGTAAGGGAACTAGACATCCAATTGTGACTGACAATCAGTGGGAGTTCTGTACCTAATTCCCTTAGGAGTCTGTTAAAAATCCCAGCTGAAATGCAGAGTCAACCCATGTACGCCAGGAGTCAGGGTTTTGGGTGTGCATTGGTGCGTGGTCTAGCTAGCCTGTGTTGCGCTCATCATCGTGGATTCTGTGCGTGTCTAAAAAGTCATGTGAAAATTAGAGACCAGGTGGATGAGGTAATATCTTTTATTGGACCAACTTCTGTGAGTGGGAGAGACAAGCTTTCCCGCTTACTCAGAGCTGCTCTTAAGGTCTTTGTGTAAGATCCAAATTTGTGTCTCTCACCAACAGAAGTTGATCTAATAAAAGATATTCCCTCACACACCTTGTGTCTCTAATATCCTGGGACTGACATGGCTACAACAACACTACATACAACATATTGTGCAAATGGCGTTGAAGGGTTCCATATTTGTCTTTACTGACAGAGCAAACTTGTTCCGTTTACAAGTAAAAAAGATATTTGTTCCTAAGTGCCTGCTCTTCAAAGGCAGCAGCATAATCTGTAAACCAGGCGGCATGCTTACTGCCTCGTGCATCGTGACTGGTAATAAAAATCGAAGGCCAAGTTCTGCCTTCAGTTTACACCTGTGCCACCCATTGACTTTGGGAATTGACAATTTTTTTCACTTACCAGGAATCTTCTTCATTTATTTTTAAACTGTACATGGCACCAAAAATGAAGGCCACCTAAGATATGAGTTACCATGCACTTTGCAGTTCAGTTAAATAATGCATGGCAGTGTGATTCTGATTCTGAAATTTTGGCAAAAGGAATGTGGGAGTACTATCATTGTACTTGGATACTGATGGTTGTGGTATTTTCAATTTACAAAAGTGATGCTGCATCTGTCTTATAGTATGTTTCGTCAAGGAATGCATGACTTGAAAGTCTGGCCCAATGTAGAAGCTGATGGCTCAGAGCCCACCAAAACTCCTGGGAGGACCAGTAGCACTCTCTCTGAAGATCAGATGAGCCGATTGGCTAAGGTAATGTAACAGTTCTTCAGTTAGGTCTTTAAGGTTGCTTGCATCTATAATATAGAAGCCAGGAATGGAAGACCTGCTTTGCGTGCCATTTTCTGACATTAGTTATCATGCTTTTAAAGATATTTACCTTCTCATTTAACTATAAGGGATTATTGGTGTGCTGTAGCATTTCTCCATATTAAGCTGTAGATCAAAATATAAAAGTTAATATTTGGCCACATCATACTAAACACCCCAGTCTTCTGTAAGGAATTTATGAGCATCCCTTGAAAGTGCTCAGGGGAGACCAAAATGCTGAACTCTTCAGTTTCAATAAGAATTATTTTAATGAGCTTATATTTTAAGAGATTTCCATGTAACTTCTGTAGCATTCTTCAGTAGTCGTCTTCTAAATATGAAAACCTTAGGCCACGTCTACACTACAAACTTTGTTCGATGCAAGTTACGTTGGCATAAAGCTGCCCCAGTTCATATATTGCTTGTGTGTGTGCATGTTTGTGTCCTTGCATCAGCGCTGTGCTTGCTCACCAAGAGCGTTTGTGTTGATGCACAGTGCAGTGCAGTTTGGGTAGGTATCCCAGTGTGCAACTGGCCACTGTCTTTTGGGAAATTTTGGCAAAGTATGGTGCGGCCAAAACGAGTTGCAAAGTCATTACTGGGAGCAAGGGGTTAACTTCCCAGCATGCAACTGTCTTAATCCCAGGTCATCTGTATCCCATCATTTTGGCATCTTTTTTTCAAAATCCCATGAACCCTCATGGTTCTCCTCATTCTGTCATGTCTGACAGAGGCATGGAGCCTGCTGAGCTCTGCAGTATTGTCCTAATCGTTGCAAGCAAGGACGCATGATTCTCTGGTATTTCCAGTGCCACAAGAATAATGCAATCATGACAACTTTTCGGAGGACAGATTGCTGTAGCACCTAGTGAGAACCAATTCAAGGCTGTTGTTGATGGTCACGGAGCAGCTGCAGGTGGTGGAGCCCTGCTTCTGGGCCTGAGAAACGAGCACTGACTAGTTTGACTGCATTGTAATGCAGGCTTGAGATGACGAGCAATGGCTGCAAAACTTTTGGATGCGCAAGGCGACATTCCTGGATCTGTGCGCTTAGCTTGTCCCAGACCTCCGGCCTAGGGACACCAGAATGAGAGCTGCACTGACAGTGGAGAAGCGAGTGGCGATTGCACTGTGGAAACTTGCAATGCCAGATTGCTACCAATCAGTGGGAAATAATTTTGGAGCTGGAAAATCCACAGTGGAGGCTGTTGTCATGAAAGTGTGCAGGGCCATTAATTGCCTCTGCTATGTAGGACTGTGACTCTTGCCAATGTGCAGGACATAGTAGATGCATTTGCAGTAGTGGGTCCTGAACTGCAGTGGAGCAATAGACTGCATGCATATCCCTGTTTTGGCACCAGAGCACCTTGCCACAGAGTACATCAACAGGGTTTCTTTTCTATGGCTATGCAAGCATTGGTAGATCACCAGGGATGCTTCACCGACATCAATATGGGCTGGTCAGGGAAGTCAAGTGATGCTTGCATCTTTGAGAATACAGGACTGTTCAGAAAGCTACAAGCAAGGGCTTACTTTCTCAACCGCTGGATTATCATTGGCAGTGTTGAAATGCCAATAGTGATACTGGGAGACCCAACTTACCCCTTGCTTCCCTGGCTTATGAAGCTGTACACCGGCCACCTCAACAGCATCAAGGAAGAGCTCAGCAGGCGCAGAATGACAGTTGAATATGCTTTTGGTAGATTGAAGGAATGCTGGCATTGTTTATTCAAGAGATTTGAATCTCAGAGAGAAAAATATCTTGATGGTTATAGTTGCCTGCTGTGTCCTGCATAATATCTATGAAGTGAAGGGGGAAAAGTCGACGTTTCTATGGCTGGTCCATAGCTATGTTTGCACAGCCTCTTCTCACCATAGGCCCAGGAGAGCCAATACTTCCTGTCTACTCCAAGTTGGAGCGTATCTAGAGCATGTAGCCACATGGTCAGCTAGGCAGTTGCTCACAACAGTGGTGAGCTACTAGGCGTGCTTGCAAGACTGGATAAGTAGGAAAGGGCATTTCAAAAATTTGCTGGACTTTCAAGCAGCGGGGTGCATTCTGAATGACGTGACCCCTGGGCAGTGGAGCTCACAACTGAGGCCAGAGCGGTCAGGGTTGGGCATTGTGGAACAACTGCTAGAGAACTGTTAAGGTTGACATCAATAACACAGTGTGTCTGCTTGTGCTCTGTCAACCTCCTGCTTGGGGAGGTGATGTTACTATGTCTGTGTAATGGGGCACTTACATCAGTGGGAGACAAATTTAGGTGCAGACACATGCACAACTACATGGATTCAAGGTGGCTTATGTCGACCTAACTTTGTAGCATAGCTCAGGCTTTACTCTTCCGGTCAGTACTGATTAGTTCTAGCATAACATTAAGACTATTTTAGGTGGAAATTGCAAGAAGAGAGATTAGATGTTAGCACTGCTTTGGCGACTCAGTGGTATTAATGTCAATTTTGTGCAGAAACAAAGTTTCACTGCCAGAAAATAATGGAATATACTTTTCTGTTGCCTCAAAGCTTGTCTTGAAGAATCCCTGACCATAAAGGATGATTTCTGTAATTGGTCAGTCTGCGTTCAATCATGAACCATTGGATTAACCTATCAGTCCACCTTCTTGTAGCAAACTTAGGCCATGCTCACTTAATAGGTCAACTATTTTAATTAATAGACTTAGGTCAGATTTAATAATTTGGTGATTGTCTCCTAGCTTTTCAAGGCAGCCAACCGCTTTCATAATTGTTCAAGGAAAGTTTGTGATATAAATCTCTCTTTCCTCTTCTAGAGATTTATGATGGCAATAAACTAACTTTCATTTAAGCTGTGTGTACCTTGAGTTTCTAATAGAAAACTCATTATAATCTGCTCATTTATAGCCAGCAGGTCACTATAACATGAGCAAGGTTGAATTTCAAGAGCAGTAAGAGGATACTCTTATCCACAGAAAGCTTCAGATGCTATTTTTTTGTTGTTGTAATGGTTTTCTTTTTGGAATGGGAACAAAAGCAATATAATGACTGCCTCACCTGTTAATCTTAATACTAATTTTGTTTAGAATCAACACTATATAGCCTTCTATTGAACATATTCCTCATTGGATTCTAGGAAAATTGGCTGAGCATGGAATATTTCATCAAGTCTTGAGGTTTTTTTTTTTTTTTGTATTGCATTGAGGAAGACATTCCATTGTGTTTAGAGTTAGCATAGGAAGAAACTAAGTGCATATGATCTTAATTTTCTGCTTTAGTATGGTGAATTGGTTTAATGTAGTGAAATGTTGTATTCCTTTATTCCTACATTTATCTACAAGGTTTTGTTTTTCACATCACTTAAGATTTGTTCACTTTGGAGTTTTCCTTTTGACGTTGGCATAGCTACTTCCGTACGCTGCTGACGTGCATCCACTTCCAAGCTTTGTGCTAACCACTTTGTCCCCCTTCCTGCTCACCTGACGACAAGTCCCACATATATAAGGAACCAAAAACATTGGAAGCTACACAGCTCTGCACCTTCCAGGATATGCTGAAGAGCACTAACCCTGAAGATATTTGCAGGACGGGTTTTTTGTTTGTTTGTTTGTTCTCAAATGATCTTAGAAAGTCTGCAGTGAACGTGGTCAGCAAGAGATTTTGTGGCTAGCAGACTAGGCAGCATTTTTTCCACCTGACTGTCTAAGGTGTACTAGGTTGGGCCCATTTTCTTACGGACTTCCTAGAACTTTCAGAAAAACAGGGCTCCTCTCCAGCAGTTTTTGACAATTAAAAAAAACCACCAAAACACTTAGAGAATATCCCACCCAACAGAAAAAAATTAAGGTTGCAGACTAATAGGGCATTATGAGTGCATTACTTTTCAAGAATATTAGACATAAGTGTTATAAATTCAAAAAACACGGGAGATAAGGCTGCAATGTTCAAACAAGGCACCCAAGCTACCTGAACTCTAGGTTCTTAGCAATGTCCTGGCAAAACAAACCCGTGCTACTTCAGTGTTCCATAATAAACAGTGTTGGTACTTGTGACCAAAACCAACAATGTTGTATACTTAATTGCTCTGTGGTTACACTGCTTTATGGCTAACTTTGAAACCATGCGCAGAGCACACAAAATAAGTTTTACAAAGTCCTGATTTATGAATAGCACACTGAAGGCAATCATCCCCCATGCTCTAGCAAAGGTCCAATCTGCTCAGGTGCTGAGGGCAATCAACCTCTCATAGTCAGTGTTTAAGAGTTCAGATACTGACTCTGTATTTTTCCCCTTTGGCAGTCATTTCATGTGCCTCAATATACAAAATTCATATTTCCCCCATCGGTGGTGTAGCATTGTAACTCCAGTCGGCTACCAAGAGGGCAATTTTTTCCCACCAAATAAAGCTTCTATTTATCTTTTTTATTTTTGGAATAGCAGGTTTCCTTGTCTTTCTCCCCCTCCTGTTCAGTTGTGCTTAGATTCAGCCTCGCAGTGGTGGAGGTAGATTACCTATCATACCTGCTGTAAATTCAATTGACTAGGGTTTCTGGATCGTGGAAAAGAGTTCTCACTTACCCAGGTGTGCCCTAGCAAATGGATTAATCTGAGCTATGGCATTCTTAAATTCAAGCAGCTGCTTGAGTAAAACAGACTTTCAGTGGTTCTTATAACCTATTTAGCAGTTGATGAGCAATTAGTGATCTTGTATGGCTGTATGTAAAAGAGAATTTGAATATTTGTTAAAATGAGCGATTAACAGTGTTGGTTAAATGTAGGCATAGTATCTGTGAACGCTGTGTTCCAAAGTCATCCTCACTGACTTCTGTAATATGTTTGCAGTTAAAGTACTGGTCTGATTTATGATCATCTGTGATGGTCTTATGATGTTGATTGATTGCCTGACACTAGAGACCAGGTTGAAATCCACCAAATGAATTATTACTTAAAAAAAAATACATACAGCT